TCTCCTCTGAGGAAAATGTTGTTAGGACACAAAAATAATAAATATGTGATTAGGGAGAAAAATGTACTCTTTCATACCTAAGTACACCTCTACTTCATTACCATCTTCACGGTCCCGAGTAATGAGGATAATGGATTCTAGAGAACAAAACATCACAAGATCTAGATTGCCTCTTGATCAAGGGGGAATAAAAACTTGGGTTCGTCCTTTGAGTAATCAGTAAATATGGCATCCATGATAAAAGGAAAAGAGGATCACCATTCACCCATACAATGGCTGGAAAATCATTTCCTTACCCTCTCACACATGAAAACTTGTCTTTTCAAACCTCGTAAGGGTTCACAAAGGGCTTTATCAGACATTCGCCTAGAAAGGGTTGCAATGTTTCCCAACCATTATTAGGGAGAATCTTTGTACTAAAGAAATAGAGGAGCACCCTCACAGTAGGGGATACGCCTAAGATGAAACCAAATATCTGAAAAAGCCCTGAGTATACCCTATACATTTTGGGTGATCTGAGAAGTTGTGAAGTTTATATCTGTCATAAAATCCATTTTAAAATAAATGAATGGAATTAAAGCTCTCAGCTCATGAATAATGGGAAGGTAGATGTAAAAATAGGTAGTAAACGACTTGCCTAAGGTATTTATGTTGGCCCTCTATCCCTCTAAACAAGGCTCCATTCTCACACCATCCTCATGTCATATGCTAGAAAACCTAAAGCCATAACTAAACTTATTGATCCTATTCACAGAACAATACATGGACGCAATGTCTCTAACTTGAATGGGTTTACATTTATTTCCCATGGTCGCTTTGGGTAAAAAAAAAGGGATACAAGATGTTTTCACCCAAAGAAAAGAGTGAGCTCTTCACTTTTCCCACTGTTGCCCTATACTGGTATATTTTTCTAGAGAAAGAGAAATGGGAAAGAAAAATAAAAGAAAGGGTTTTCCCAAAATAATATAAGGGAAACCCAATAGCGTAAGTCATACATTTACCCAATGATGTAACGACCACGAGAAGCGGGAAAGTCTCTACACCTTGAAGACACGTGTAAGCAAAAGAGAATAAACTGATTTTCCCAAAGAACGCCGTCATGAGGTGCATTCAATGCCACCCACACTATTTTTCCACTAAAGCACTCAAGCTTTCAATAGTGATTGGCGTTTTGACATCTTAGAGTCTAATAAAAGGAAATGAGGCATATTCCTCTATTGTCTAGTTATCTAATAGGCGATTCTAACTTCAAATAAATAGTCACCTTTAGCTGAGGGACTCACCCTACAAATAAATAGTCACCTATAATTGAGGGACTCACACAAAGTTGAGGGACTCTCCCTTAAAATGAATAGTCACCTTTTGCTGAGGGACTCACTCAAAGATGAGGAACTCACCCTTTAAATAAATATTCACCTTCATCTGAGGGACTTGCCCTAAGATGAGGGGCTCACACTTTAATTAAATAGTCAGTTTTAGTTGAGGGACTCACAATTTAATTAAATAGTCTCCATCATCTAGGGGACTCACAAAAAGGCGAGGGGGGCACCTCAAACAGAAGATTTCTTGAAAGAAATTTTCCATTAACAAAGGCCTCGTGCTTGAGGACTATGTAGTGCTATATTTGTGAGTATCCTAAACAAGGGCACCCTCGCCCAAAAAATAGTATCGCCTAGGAGATTCCCCCACAAGTATAGAGGGCTCTTCCTAGGAATTAATGATGTGTGTAATGTCGTTAGTCAAAGAATAGAGATTCCATCACTACCTCTTGAAGATTAGGGGGTTAACAACTTCTCCATATCATGACGAAGTGGTTGCCGCCACTAATGATTACCGAAACACAAGGTCCATTAGGCCTCACACAGGAGAGGGACAAATCTTAAGTGATACTGATCACATCCCATATATGCTTATACATAAGTACTTCAATTCAATAACAAAGTCTTTCGCTTCACGTGAGAAGGACATCTAAACCACCGTAAAACACCACCATACATGGCTTCCACCATGGACAAGTCCTAACCACCATACAACGTAATATACCTACTAAGGCCTCTGAGTCCTCCTTCCCTTGCTGGAGGAACACACACACATGTACTTTTTTACCAATACAATGATTTTTGTTGATTTTTTTTTTAATTTTTGTTGTTTTTTCTTGTTGTTGTTTTTGTTGTTATGAAAATATATTGTTTAACAATTCTACTAATTTATTTTATGTTGTTGTTTTTGAGATTTAACATTTAACTATTTTATTGATTTTGTTTTGTTGTTGTTGTTGTTGAGATTTATTATTTAACGATTCTATTGGTTTTGTTTTTTTGTTGTTGTTGTTATTTTTGTTATTATTATTGTTTTTGTTTTTGTTCTTGTTTTTATTTTTGTTCTAGTTCTTGTTATTTTCCTTGTTTTTGTTCTTGTTATTATTTATGTTCTTGTTATTCTTGATTTTGTTCTTGTTCTTGCAGTTCTTATTCTTGTTGTTGTTGATATTGATGTTCTTGTTATAGTAATTGTTGTTATTGTTATGTTAAAAATATTTAAATTCTATCTTTTGATGGAAGTTATCAATGTAGTCGGTTAAAGCATGTGGCTAAAATGAAAAACTAGGCTAACTGACTTTTCACAAGGTTAGAACTTTCAACCATTGTGAAAAGTGAGTTGACTAATATTTCATCACGGTTAGAAGTTTCAACCGTTGTAAAAATTATGCTGACTATATTTCATCATGGTTAGAATTTCCAATTGTGGTGAAATGTATCGCGCTCTCCAATTTTTCAGCATGGACATTAGCCTGTGACAGAAAATAGTGCATTTACTATCACACTCTTTGTTACCACGGACCACCATTCATGGTAGAATCCTGTTATTATTTTAACTATATTGTTGTTCCCTCTCGTTGATGGTGGTCTGTGTGAAAAGTAGCGCATTTACTGTCACACATTTTTATTATTTTAACTATGTTGTTGTTCCTTCCGGTGGAATTTTTATTCACATTACCTTAATACATTGTTTATGTTTTATTTATATTTATTCTTTCTTTTATTTTATTTTTGTAATTTTTATCTTATTTTATTTTTGTCATCTTACTAGATTAATTTATTTAGTACATTCTGAAATGTTTTTACCACTCTTTTTTGTTTGAAGACAACACAAGGAGAAAAATATTTTATTTAAAGGGGGAAGGCAATTTAGTTTATTAAAATATTTAAATAGGTGATACATTAATAGGATAAATTAATTTTACACTGTCAATCAATCACGACCATGTATCAAGACACATTACTCTTTTATTTTAAAAAAATGTAATGACATGACAGATTGTTAATTTACTATTAAAAGAAAGTATAAAACTGTTTTATACTGTCAATGTATATCTATTAAACTCATTCAAAATTTGCCAAAATTTATTTTTTTAAGAGAATTCACAAGATTATTTATTGAAAATGTTATTTGCACATATCATTTTCACTTTAAATTTTGACATTGTCTCAAGGGAGATTTTAATCATGGTCCTATATGATTCAATATCTCTCAAAAAGTTAAACATTTTCATCAAAATAAATACGGTTGTCATTATCAAAAAAGGGTGATTGGTTTGATTTATAAGGACCTCTAATTTATGTTTTAATGATAATAATATGTAACGGAGTAATTTTATTCTCTAATGTGTGTATCACGTGAATAAAATTATTGAAAATATTTTAAGTACTCTAAACTCTATAAATAACGTGAAATTCTACTTGTTTATAATGATCATCTTAACTCAAGATAAATTTGGTAAATTTTATTTGGAAACTTAATCATTAAGCAGCGTGACATAACATCTGATAAAATATCACTTGGTCATGTGTCTCGATAACTTCAATGTTGTTAAAGCACAACTATCGATTGCTTTTTAAGTTCTTACACAGTAACCAAAGCCATTAATGTCAGAATTAATGGATATTTGAAAAAGAATATGAGTTGTTTAATTTGTGAAGTTGGTAAGTTTGGAAAAGGTTCACACTTGCCACCTAGACTAGTAATATTAATAAAAAAACACTATAACATTTAATACTTACCTATATTATTAATTATAACTTATACTAAACCTATATAATTAATTATAACTATTTAAAAAAATAAAGTAACGGTAATATATTTTTGAAATTAACAAAATAACGTTAACATTTTTTACTTTAACATTTTTGAATAATAACGGTAATATTTTTGAATTCTATAAATAAGTTAGTAATTTTATTATAATTTTCATTCATAACTAGTCTATTTTTAAACTATTAATTTTATCTCATCTTAAATTTTTTCTTCTACACATTATTTGTCAATGGATCCTAATCAAAATAGCCCTTGGTCTAATTTTATACAAAATGGTGATAGTCCTCCTTCTGTTCCAAATCAACAAAGTAACTCATTCTTTAGAAATGCACCTTTTATCTCAAATCCACACCATAATCCAAACTTTCAAAACTCTCAATTTATTCCAAATCTACAAAATAATCCACACTTTGGAAATTACTCATACTATACACCACCTTATCCATATCAATATCAACAATTTACATCTCAATCAACTAACCCCACTATGCCTCATGGAACTCAAATATGTAGTAGTGGTGTGCAATCAAATGATCAAGAACGTGAAATACCACAATCTTGCACTCAAGGTAGCTTAGAAACTACTAACCTTAGTGAAGAAGTTGCACCTGTATCGGTTGTGAATACGCATAAACAGGTTCCAACAAAGAGAGGATGAAGTTCTCATTCAAACATGGCTCAACGTTTCAAAGGATTCAATTGTCGGGATTGATCAAAAAGGAGATAGTTTTTTGAAGAGGATCGGTGAAGCTTACAACAAGCATCGTGACATTAATTACAAAGAAAGGAAACTGGCGCAACTAAAAGGGCGATGGCACAAAATTAATCCATCTGTTCAAAAGTTTATTGGATGCTACAAACAAGTCGTGTCTACACAATAAAGTGGGAGTTCCGAGAACAATATCATGCAAGCTGCATATAAAATCTATTTCCAAGATGAAGGTGAAAAGTTTACATTTAAGGCTGCATGGAGATTATTGAAAGATGAACCTAAATGGCTCGCAGGTTCATCTGAAGCTTCTACAAAAAGAAGAAAGAATTCAGCTTCAGGAGCATATTCTTCGCCTTATAATCCATTAACACCAACAAGCAGTGAATATGATTCATCATCACCTACTTTGTCAGGTCGTCCAATCGGTCAAAAGGCAACCAAAAGGAAGGAGAAAGAAAATCTTGTGGAAATGTCTTCTACACCCAATGTCAAATATGGTTCTTTGAAAGATGACTTAAAAATGAAAATTGATCTGATGTCAATGTTTGCATAGGACTATGTACGCATTGAGGGTGAAAAACTTGAGATAGAGAGAAAAAAGGTTGATGCAAAGATTAAGAAGGATGAGATTGCTGAGGAAAGATTAAAGATGAATGATCTACAAATACTCTCAAAAGATACATCAAATATGAATGCAAGACAACTACAAGCTCATGAAATATTGTGCGACATGATTAGAGAAAATTATGGAATTAATTAGTATGATTATGTATTTTGAATTAATTAGTATGATTATTATTTTGTGCTTAATTAGTATGATTATGTAGTTTGGATTATTATGATTATGTATTATATGCTTAATTAGTATGATTATGTATTTTATTATTATTTTGTATGATTATGAATTTTGTGCTTAATTATTCAAATTCAAACTAGCCGTTATTCAAATTCAAACTAGCCTTTACAAACTAATCTTATAAATAGTATTAACATGCACACTAAACTTCATAGTACTTCTTTTCATTCACTACCTCTTTCATTTTCTATAACTTTTTATCATCTTCATCTATATCAAACTTCTTTTCACATGAATCCTTCTAATCCTTCCCACATTGCAAAAATGTTCATGGATTTTGTGAATGATGATACAGGTGAAGAACTTGTGAGGCTGTTTATGGAAGAAGAAGCCTCAAGCTCTAAAAGGCCTAGATGTCAAAGAAGGAATATAGAGAGGAATCGTAAAGAGGGGCATGATCGATTGTTCAATGATTATTTTTCAGAAACTCATGTATACACAAATGAGCAGTTTCGTCAAAGGTACCGAATGCATAAACATGTGTTTCTTTGTATTGTTGAAGCTCTGGGACAACATGATGAGTATTTTCGAATGATGGTTGATGCAACTGGTAGGTCAAGTCTTTCGCCATTACAGAAATGCACGGTTGTTATCCGTATGTTCGCTTATGGAATATCTGTTGATGGTGTGGATGACTATTTGAGAATTGGTGAAACCATGACACTAAAATGTGTTGATAAGTTTACAAGAGGAGTGATCAGCATTTTTGGGGTACAATATTTGCGAAGGCCCAATGCTGAAGACATTAAACGCCTAATGCGAATGGGGGAAGCACGAGGATTTCCAGGCATGTTAGGGAGCATTGATTGTATGCATTGGGAATGAAAAAATTGTTGAGTTGCATTGAAAGGGAAATATGTTCGAGGTGATAATGAGAAACCAACTGTTATGCTTGAAGCAGTGGCTTCACAAGACTTATGGATTTGGCATGCATTCTTTGGTGTAGCGGGTTCAAACAACGATATTAATGTGTTGAACCAATCAAATATCTTCAACGATGTTCTGCAAGGACGAGCTCCCGATATTCATTATACAATTAATCGTACTGAATATAACAAGGGCTATTATCTATCAGATGGTATTTATCCTGAATGGGCCACGTTTGTGAAAAGTATCCCGATGCCACAAGGTGATAAGAGAAAATTGTTTGCCCAATATCAAGAAGGGGCAAGAAAGGATATTGAACGAGCATTTGGAGTTCTTCAATCCCGATTTACGATCATATGTAACCCAGTATGATCTTGACACTTAGACACACTCCAGCGCATAATGAATACATGCATGATATTACACAACATGATTGTTGAAGATGAACGTGCCGCATATGATGGAAATTTTGATTTTTCTTATGATCATTTGACCAATGACCCAACAATATTGCCGAATGATTCTAATATTGATTTTCAAGAGTTTCTACATAGAAGATTTGATGTTCGTGACAAACAAATTCATCGACGTCTTCAGCAAGACTTGATAGAACACATATGACAACATTTTGGGAATGAGAATGACAATAATTAAAAATTATTTTAAATTTATCTTTTTCTTATAATTCGTATTAGTGGTGCATTTTTGAATTTATGATTTTTTAAATGTAATTTTGATGAATTATTTGTATCATGTATTTTTTTATTTAATATATATTTATTTTAACCTTATTTTAAAGGTATGTCTTTTTAATGTATTTTGATATATTTGAATTAATTTTTTAATTATATTTTATGTAATATATTGTGGAGTGTAGTGAGACTCATTTTAGATTTTTTGATGAGTTAGATGAATATTTGAGAATTGTAGATGAGTTTTAAAAAATTGAAAAGTGTAAAAAAATATAAAAAAATATGTGGGTCTCATTTAAAGAACCCAAATAAGTATGATGGACGTGGATGCTTATATTTTTAATGAGCTACACAATCTATCATTTTCTCTATGGTTAACTCAATGTTGCATAAGTCCAACACTTTCATCCTCTTCTAAAAAGACCAAGTTTTTATCCTCTCATGAGTTTATCCTTTGGTAGTCAATAAGTGAATTTTTATAAGATTATTCTTTGAAGAATAGCTTTCATGATTTCCATATTAATGTAATGAGATTGAATTTGAGAGACAACAGACAATAGTACACAATATACAAATGTACAAGTTAAATGTGACACACTAGTACAAGTCATGTGGTAAAATTCTTATTGTGAGTCCAAGGTTATGTAGAATTATCCTGCTCTATAGTACAATGGGCCATAATAAATCTTATCTCATCATTCAAAATCCTTCAATGGTCTAATAAATGAAGCTACATATATTATTAAACACTCTCAGAATTATGCATAAATGGCTAAATTGTTGTTAGCTTTTTAAGAAGACAAAGAGACAAAGTTATAGTCAGTTCTTTTTTATTAAAAAATTTAAGGTATAAGTCAATTGGACTATAATATGTCTTATTGAAATGGTATTCAATTGGATTATAATAAAAGTCTCTCAAATGTGAGAGGATTGTACATTACTTTGGATTATGGGGTGATCATGGATAAGTTCCAAGTGTTTATCTCTCTTCCCTTATCTCTGTATCTCCAACACTTTAGTTTAAATTGGGTTTTATCTAAAATTTATAAATAAAAATATTAAACTCTAACACAACTCAAACCTCCCTCTTATTCTTATGTTTTTCTCTCCTTTAAGTCGATTTATATTTGGTTAGATGTTTGGTTTCATGAAGAGAGTAGTGTTCAGGTTAACACATCCTCTCTTACTTCTTCTCATTACTTAATAGTAAGTCATATCATTGATCTTGTAATAAGTAATTGATATACATTGTTGGCAGAATGTGTATCTCTAGTTTCCCTTACATAGCCTGCTGCTCTTAGTCAAGGGTTTTATGATGTATTTCTTCCGTATGGTAAATCATTTTAACATGGAGTATTTGAAAAAAGAGGAATCCAAAACTTCGGGATGAGAAACATGAACCTGTTGATGGAGTGATAGTTGGAACATAATGTATGCTTAGCTCATGTAGACATGCCTGCAAGAAACAAAGGAATTACTTCATGTAAATCCTCCATCTAATATCCAATGGAAACATATCTCCAGTGGTTCATGTAAATCCTCCATCTAATATCCAATGGAAACATATCTCCAGTGGTTCATTTAAATGTAGTGTAGATGAGCCCTTCAAAAAATGTAATGTATATGGTGTCATATTTCAACAACAAGCTTTCTTGGGTATTAGAATGTGTGTGAGGGATGACTATGGTCGTTCTTTATTGCTAGAACGGATTAATGTCACACGAATCTTCAAGCCGTAGAGTGTGAAACTTAGAGCTTTTGTAATGCGCTACAATGGATCATGACAATATGTCTGATAAATATAACTTTTATACTTGACTATAAAAAAGTAGTTGATGATATTTACGATATAATTTATACTAGATTAGAATATGACTCTATTATTGACTATTGTATAGCTATTTTTAAGGAGATACAACAACGTTAAGATTGTTTTTGTTATAAGACATATTAACGATATACTTGTGCTTTGAGTATAAATTATTGTTGCATGCATTCTACTCTCTCTATTTTCAGAAGAAATCATGTATAATAATAAATGTTTCAGAAATTAAATAGTATTATGATATAAATAAGAATTTTAATAAAATGGATATCAATATATTTAAGGGCTTACAATTATATGGTTGAATAAAATTGTTGGTGGGATGATAACTAATAACCTACATGTTTTCCTTCATATTAATATTATAATTATAATACTTCTATTTACATTTTATCATTAAGAAAACAGTTAATTAACTATCTTATTATAGTGATAAAATTTCACCAATCTCTCTTATTTTTATATATTTTTTCTCATTTAAAAATATAAACATCTATGAAATATTAAAAAAATTGAAAACATAAATTTTTATAGTTTTATGCAAACTAAATTTTATTATGATTTTCTATCTACACAAAGATAAAAATGTAATATAAAGAGTCTTGGATATTGATAAACACGATATATACGTGATATTTTTATCAATTTCGATGGTTTAATTGATAGAAGAATTTGTAACACATAATTAAATGTTCTTGCAAATATTGTATTTATTTTTACATTCACTTGGTTTTTAAGACATTTAAATGATATTATCATTAGTGCATTGCCTCTATTTATTTCCCAATTACTAACCATTTAACTATTGATTTTTTAACCTATTTATCATAATCATTTATTTATCATTACCCTGGATTAAAAATCAATAACAATATGGCATTAAATAGTAATAAATTATATTTTTTCAATTCAATAAATAATTTATTCAGAATACTATAAATAGACAAAACAAAACAGACAAACATAAAATCAAATTATTAATTAAAAATAATATCTAATTACTATTAATAAACGAGAGTTAAATACAATTAGTGCATTGTCTCTCTATTGACTTTCCAATTATTATCTGTTTAATGATTGATTTTTAAGACATATTTATCATAACCATTTAGTTTATCATTATCACCAATTAAAACCCAATAACAAAATGGCATTGAAGAGTAATAACTTGATTTTTTAAATTAATAAATAACTTATTCAAAATATTTAAAATAGATAAAATAGACAAACATAAAATCAAGTTATTAGTTAAAAATAATATTTAATTTTTATTAATAAATAAGAGTTAAATACAAATAAATAATTATCTATAATCTATTAATAACTTTTATCAACAAAAATATTTTTATTATAATAAATTTTAAAATATTTAATTATTTTAATATTAATACACTATCTTCCTTTTCACATAGCAAAATTTATAATATCATTTTATATGTTAGTTGTTTGCTTATGTTTTATTTCAAACCAGTTTGACAATTATTTTCTAAGCTTCCAATTATAAGAGTATATATATATTT